CGCGCTGTGACGGCACCGTGGCACGACGCGGGCCTGCTCGAGCCTCGAGGCCGAACAGCCGATTTGAGGACGAGCTTGTCGCCGCCGGGATCTGGGGCCTTCTTGGCAGGCCCCGCGGGCAGGCAACGCCTCGCGGGGGTGCCCCCTAGAAGCCCCCTGGAGGCCTCTCGAGGTCCACAGAAGGCCAGCAGGTGCACGACGGAGCCCACAACCAGGAAACCCGCCCCTTCGGACTTCGGCCTAGATCCTCGGTCCTCAAGCCTCGACCTGCGGCCGATGGCGGCAGCGCTCGCCGTGCCCGGGTCTCCTGGCGGCGGACCCGTCCGCGGAGCCCAGCCGCGCCCTGCTGGTCTCGGGGGTCTCCCAGCGCGACGAGGTGTTGGGGCTCGGCATCGGCGACGCGAACTGAGACGGGGGGGGGCTGCAGCGGGGGCTGGCATGGCTTTCGGTGGCGCGCAGGCCCAGGGCATCGTCGTCGTCGCCGCCGTCGTGGTCGCCCCCGTCGTCGCCATGGTTGTCGTCGTCGTCGTCGTCGTCGTCGCCACCACCGCGGCCGCCACCGTCATCGCCGTCGCCGTCGCCGTCGAAGTTTGAAGTTCGAAGCTTTTCGACGATACGTTGGTCCACCGACGGCCGCAGTGGCAAAGTCCGCGTGTCGCCTCCCCGACAGTTTCGGCCAAACCTCTCCTACGTTGCGTGGCCCCACAGCGAGCTCCACCGAAGCTCCTCCCAGTGACAAGATGCGCATGGCACCGCCCCGACCATTTCGGCACGCTTCTCTCACGCTTCGTGGCCCCATTAAGGAGCTCCACCGAACCGCAATAGCAGAGTCCGCAAAGCGTCGCCCCGCCCATTTCGGCACGCCTTTCCTACGCTTCGTGGCCCCATGAGGAACTCCTTCGAACACCCCGATGTCAAAATTCACGTGGCGCCGCGCCGACCATGTCGGCACACCTCTCCTACGCGATCCCGGGGCCCGGTAATCTCGGAGATTGGAAACCCATAGGTTGAGAACTTCGAAAAACATGTCGTCTTGGTTTTGTTCACGACGCGGGGATGTCAGAGTTGCGGGAAATCGTATTTGGACGTCTGGGTAAGTCCTGAGCCTGGGGGTCCCAAAGTCGACCCTGCACCTGTTTTGGGGCACATTCTGCCCGAACTTCGATGGGAATCCAGCCGTGGCGGCGAAGAGCATTCTGGAGGTCCCCTTCCCCAAAAGCTAAACTTATCAGTAAACGCGTTCCTCAAGGACGGGGCCGAAGCTTGCACCGGGCTATATTTGCAGCACCGTTCCTGGCCCGAGGTGTCCCGAAATCGTTTGGCGCAACTACATCGTGGTTTCACGAACTCGGCTCCAGCACCTCCGTGGCCGCGGCGAGGGGCATTCTGGGCTGACATAACCTGGCGCCAGTGCCCTATCTGAAAACCTCTGAAGGGGCTTCTCTGCACAAGAAATTATTCACTGCGTGGAGCTCCCCATATGTGCATCTACTCGCATGGACCTGTCCGCCGTGAATGTCTAGGCGCAAGAGCTTTGGAATATTAACGGGCTTCAGTTGTGACGGTCTGGACATCAATCTAACTGCGAATGAATTGGAGTGTGAATGAGCCTCAGTAGTACAAGCGCGTCTCTGTGCATGAGCCTGGGGCCTCCTGGGGCCTCCTGAAACCTACTGGGGCTTCCTGGGGTCTCCAGGAGCCTCTTGGGACCTCCTGGGACCTCCTAGGAAGGTTTCGTGCCCCAGGAGAGGCGCAATCTATAGCAACAGACGTACATAAAACATTGCGGATTAGAGCCACAGGAGAAGGGCAATATATAGGAACACGCGTAAAACACCAAGGACTCGTGCCCCAGGAGAGGCCCAATATATAGGAACATGAGTAAAACATTTAGGATTGTGTACACAGGAGAAGGACCATCTATAGAAACATACGTAGAACATCAAAGAATCGTGCTCCAGGTGAGGCCCAATCGATAGGAGCATACGTAAAACACATGGGATTGGAGCCACTCCTGTTGCCTTCTGAGGCCTCCTGCTCCTGGGGCCTCTCGGGGCCTCCTGTTGCCTTCCGAGGCCTCCTGGCGCTTCCTGTTGCCTCCTGGGGCCTCCTGTGGTTTCCTGAGGCCTTCTGGAGCTTCCTGGGGCCTCCTGGAGCCTCTTGGGACATCCTGTGGCCTCTTGAGTCTTTCTGTGGCCTCCTGATGCCTCCTGGGACCTCATGTGGTCTCCTGGGGCCTCCTGGAGCCTGTTGGAGCCTCCTGTGGCATCCTGAGAAGAATCTGCGCCCACGAGCCTGGCCACCAAAACAAGCAAACCGATCGAGACATCCTCAAAATCTGGCCCACCTGGGGGGTGAAAATGAGCGCCTCGCTCGAGACATCCTCCAAATCTGCTCCGAAAGCGAAGGATGTTGAGCCCAGAAACAAGCAAACCGCCTGAGACATCCCCACAAAATGGCCGCGAACGAGCCCGTGCAACCACCTCTGGCGGCTCCCCTTAGGGCCACGAGCCTGGCCACGAAAACAAGCAAACCGATCGAGACATCCTCAAAATCTGGCCCACCTGGGGGGTGAACATGAGCGCCTCGCTCGAGACATCCTCCAAATCTGCTCCGAAAGCGAAATGATGTTGGGCCCAGAAACAAGCAAACCGCCTGAGACATCCCCACAAAATGGCCGCGAACGAGCCCGTGCAAACACCCCTGGCGGCTCCCCTTAGGGCCACGAGCCTGGCCACCAAAACAAGCAAACCGATCGAGACATCCTCAAAATCTGGCCCACCTGGGGGGTGAAAATGAGCGCCTCGCTCGAGACATCCTCCAAATCTGCTCCGAAAGCGAAGGATGTTGGGCCCAGAAACAAGCAAACCGCCTGAGACATCCCCACAAAATGGCCGCGAACGAGCCCGTGCAAACACCCCTGGCGGCTCCCCTTAGGGGTGCTGAAACCAGCGCCTCGCTCGAGACATCCTCCAAATCTGCTCCGAAAGCGAAGGATGTTGGGCCCAGAAACAAGCAAACCGCCTGAGACATCCCCACAAAATGGCCGCGAACGAGCCCGTGCAAACACCCCTGGCGGCTCCCCTTAGGGGTGCTGAAACCAGCGCCCCGCCTGAGACATCCTCACAATCTGCTCTCCAAGCGAAGTCTGAGTATGACTAATACTGTGTATGAGTAAGTCTGGGTATGAGTGAGTCTGTGTATGAGTACGTCTGGGTGTGAGTAAGTCTGTGTATGAGTAAGTCTGTGTATGAGTATGTCTGAGTGTGAGTAAGTCTGAGTATGAGTAGGTCTGAGTATGAGTAAGTCTGAGTATGAGTAAGTCTGTGTATGAGTAAGTCTGAGTATGAGGAAAGAGGAGGAGGGGAGGAGGAAAGAGGAGGAGGAAGGAGGAGGAGTAGGAGGCGTCCAAGTAATAAGAAGAACCCCATCTTAGGATATGGGGAATATTACGTGGGCAACGCGCCGGCGGATGATGTTCAGTCCTGGCCTGGTCATGTTCAGGTCGATGCAAACGTGCCACGGTGTCCCCCGTGAATGAAATAATACACTCTGGTGACATCGTCCGAATCATAACCATCTTGGCGTAATGGTGGGCACCTGGAAGGATGTGAAAATGCAGCCCGCGGCGGTTACGGCCCATCTACCATCGACGCGAGCCACTGTCGTGACCCATGACATTGTACGAGACCCCGTGCGCCTGACGGCGCCTAACGGGGACTCTCATATCTTAAAGCATATGCCTGGGTTCGCTTACTCACGACACACGCGCGCTGCACGGCGATGCTCTGTGTTGGGGTTGCCACGCGAGCATTTTCTGAGGCTGAACTCTTGTAAACGTTCAAAACGGAGCACTGGGACTTGCAAGGGATGCTCTGGAGGCCTTGGGCGCCTCCCAGAAAACCCTCAGAACACCTTGGGCAATGTAGACCTTCCAAATTCCCGACGTCGTGCTTGCTTCGCGACGTGCACCCCCAGGAATGTCAACAACATCTCCGGGACCGGATTTTCATCCTGAGTCGACCACTGCTAGTCCAAGGCGCAACACGGACCCCTGGAGGCCGAAAACGGCAAACAACAGCATCTGTCGGGGGTCTTGGGCCAGGTTCCATCACTGCAGCAGGGACCGATCGTTCGGGTATCCCAGTAGGCCAACCACGGTGTCTTCTTGGAGTCAGTCTCAGGACACAGAGCGCCTTGAAAAACAGCAAGACGTGCCCTCACACATGACGGCCTGCGACAGAGGTGCTCCAAAAACGTGCTGTGCACACCAGGCAGACCAGCTGACCGTGCTGACCCAGGACGCTCCGTCGCTGCTCGAACCTCCCCCGACACTAGGGGAACGAACAATGACATAAACATAAAACTCGGAGGTTCGCGCAGATTTCTCGGATCGGCGCTGGACCCCCCTCCCTGGCGCGCGGAGCGCGCCAGGGGCGCCGCCGGAGGCGCCGTCGGGGGGGCCCCAACGCCGATCCGAGAAATCCGCGCGGACCTCCGAGTTTTGTCTTTACGTCATTGTTCGTTCCCCTCATCTCATCGCAGGGGGGGGGGGGCGCCGCGCCGCCCGGCACGCCTCGGAGGGCTCCTTGGCCTCCCGGTTCTGCTCCTGCAGCCTGCCGCCAGTGGGGTCGGCTCTGCGCCAGGCCCGCGGGCGGGCTGCCGGCGAGGGAGGGCCCCAGCTCGCCATCGCTCGGACGCCCCTTCCCCCTGCGATTGTTCGGCCTCGCGACGCGTCTGTTTCGCAAGACGAGCCACGATGCTCCGCGATGGTCCTCGCCGAGGAGCAGCATGCACACGTCCGAGCGATGCCAAGGCACGGGCAAGCAGTGGCCCCTGGCAGCGCGGCGTGCCCTTGGCTTGCGCGCAGTGCGACGGCAGCGGCCTGCGTGGCAACGCTCTTGCCAGCGCTCGGGCGTCCGTTCCCCGTGCATGGCTCGGTTTCGTGCGTGCGTGTTTTTCTTCGGATGCTCCAGGATGCTCCAAGCTCGCCCACATGTTCCATGGCTGACCTCGCCGGAGAAAATGCGCACGTCCGAGCGATGCAAAGGGGCTTCGGGCTGCGCACGGGCGGCCTCCCCCGTGCCCTGTACGAGCTGGCCTCGGCAGGCCCTCCGAGTGGCCCCAGCCAGCCCCAGCGGGCCCCCCTAGTGGCCTGGGCCCGCCTCGACACCCCAACCCTGGGGCGCGGAGCGCCCCAGGGGCGCCGCTGGAGGCGGCGCCAGGGTGTTGGGACCTCCCGGGTCTACTCGGGGGACCTGTTGAGGCCAGCCCTGAGGCTACTCCTGGGGGGCCTGCTGAGGCCAGCTGAGACTACCCGGGAGGCCACCTGTGCGCAGTCCGAAGCCTTACCAGGCCTGCGTGCTTGCATTGCAATAGAGGCCAATCCACAAGAAACCGTCCACACGAAACCAAACCCTGAGACCCCGGGACGTCCATTGCTTTTTGGTGCGGGAACGTCACTCTTTCCATGGCAGAACCATCGAAACCCAAGAAGCCCAGGGCACCCTGGAGGCAAGCAGGGTGTTTCTTGGCCTTGGCCCCCACTGTAGGTCCCCCCGTGCCCCCTCCCAAAGCCACGCGCCCAAGGTCACTTTGGCGGCCCAGCAGCAGCCAAGCATCCCAGGCCCTCCTCGACCCCCAAGGCTCGAGGACTTGCGTTTTGTGACGTGCGCCGCGAACAACAACAGAACGGCCCCTGCACTCGTGTCGGCCTCTGGCGGCTCGTTCCGGGAACCGTCAAGAGAAGATCTGGGGCGAAAGATACCCGGCCCAGGGGAAGGAGTCGAAGGCGCCAGGCCGACGACTCAAACAGCATCGAGCCGTCAGAGGTCTGAACCAGCAGTCCCGCAGTGGAGCACGGCGCAGCGACGGAGCCCCCCCTCCCCGAGGCCCGACGCCACGAGCACGGTGCAACGTCGTGGAAGCATGGGCCAGAGCCCTGGAATCGGTCCTTTCGCTGCATCCTTCGAGCCCGGTCTCTTCGCGAGGGCCCCGTGGCCCAGAGCAGGGCAAGGTCGCACGCTGCGACGCAAGACAGGCTGTGCGCCGCCGCCGGCGGTGCAGGGTGCAGGCTCTCCCCCCTCCCAGCTCGGCCGCTCCCGAGCCCCCCCCCCGCTCAGAGGCCTTCCAGATGGGATCGCGCCGCATCGCCGATGCACCGGCGATGCATCGGCGACGTCGGCGGTGCGTCGACGAAGCGTCGGGGTGGAGAGAATCGGGCCCCACACCGAGCCGCATGGCCGATGCATCGATGGGCCTGGACCACGGGCCCTCCCGAGAGGGGCCGGGAGCGGATCACGTGGCCTGCCCCCGAGGCGGTACGCACCCAGGCCGCCCAGGATGACCACCAGGCTCGCGTACGTGGACCTCGCGGCAAGGCGGGCGGGGGGCCGCGCCCTGGGTGGCTTCGGATCGGGAAGCCAAGCCTCTGACGACATGGTGTTTGTTTAGCCGCTTGCTTGTGTGACGTCGTATTCCTCTTGCACGCCGGACAATTCGCAACTTAGCAGTGCCCCGTGCTTCGCTCTGTCGCTGGTGCGGATCGCCCCGCCTCGCCGCCGACGAAACAAATTTGTGTGACCTCGGCCCTCGGAGGCCGTTTCCGGGCCCCAGGGCCATCGAAACCGGGTGCGGGACGAAGGATTACCCCCAGGGAAGTCGGGCACCCCTTGAGGCCGCGGATTGAACAAATAGATCGGAGGATGTCTAGGAAACCGGACCGAATCGGAACGTCCGTCGGACCAGGCCGCATCGGCACGGGGCCGAAACCGAATCGGGGCAGCCGCGCCAGGATGCACCGCGGCTCCGTGCAGGCGCCGGGCTGCATCGCATCGTCGGAGCATCGGAAGCGAATCGGGTGATCGGGCCGCCTGGAATCGACACCGAGCTGCCGATCGAAAACATCCTGGGCGGGGCCGCCGCCAGCGCCCCGCTGAGGGCTGACGGGCCCCGCGGAGTCTGCCACCGCCGAGGCCGAGGACGCAGTCAAGTGGCCCAGGGCTCGGCGGGACCTCTGCTCGGCGGAGTTACCGGGTCGCCTCAGGCCCACAGGAGGGTGCGGCGGCTCCGGGGCCGCTGCTCCTCCTCCCCAGATCTCCAGGCTCAGGTCGGGCATGTCCCCCTACATGCGGATTTTGGACGAAAGCTAAAAAATACTCCTAAGAAGCCCCAGAATAGTCAAACTACTTTAGAAATCGTCCCCAGACTATCTTTTGACTATTTGAGTACTCCTCCGGTGGAGGGACAGGCCCGACTTAACTCCAGGCGACTTTCCCCAGCCACCGCTCTGCCTCCGCTGACCTCCGCCCGCCCCCCGCGAGTTTCTCGCCGAGGCCGGGGGCCGAGGCCGTTGCTGGAAGGCGCTGGCCGGAGAGCAAAGACAGCACAAGAGCCCTGCCCGTCGGACGACCCCCTATCATGCATTTGCCCTGTTGGTCGGGCCATGTCCCCCTACAGGCGGATCTTGGACGACAAAGTAAACATAGTCAGACCAAGTGTGCAACAACGGCCAACAATAGTCAAACAATCAATCGTCCCCAGACGATTTTTGGGAGATTTTCGAAATTTCCTCCTGTAGAGGGACGCGCCCGACTCAACCTTTGCACAATCGTACCCAGACGATTTTGGGGAGATTTTCTAATTTTCCTCCTGTAGAGGGACACGCCCGACTCAACCTTTGCCCGGCACGCGCAGCCCGAGGGACGCCGCGGGTTTCGCCGGCACTGGAGCCGCGCCCCCGCCCCCTTCGAGGTGGGGGCCCCGAGCGGGGGAGCGGTGGGCAGCGGAGCGGTCGCCGCGGCACAACTTGCCGTCGCTCGGACGTCCATTTCCCGTGTATGTTTCAGTTTCGTGCGTGTTTTTTTGCTCGATGGTCCAGGATGGTCCTCGATGGTTCTCGCCGAGAAAAAATGCACACGTCCGAGCGATGCCAAGACAAGTGCTGCTCCTGCTGCTGGTCTTGCTGCTCTTGGCCCTGCTTGCGGGCAGCAGTTCTATCCAGGTTCCAGATCCGCTGCGTCTTGGGCGTTCCGCGAAGGGGAGAGGCCGAGGCGCAGTGGGCATGGATAGAAAGCGAGCCGCTGGGGGTCAGATGTTCCACCGTGTTCACGGCGCCCCTGGTTTCTGGGGAACGGAGCCCGAAACTGCAAGACGCAGTGGATATGGATAGACATCTTGCCCGCACTGCTGCAGACCAGACACGCAGAGTCGTGTCTTGTTTGTTCACGACGTGGCTCCGCAGATGTCTGCACCCTCTCCCCAACACAAGTTTCTCATTCTGAACAGGTTGTTGACTGCCCCCGGGCCCAGCAGGAGGCCCCCGGAAACCGAAAACGGCAACAACAACTGACGTAGTGCTTCTTGCCATAACGAGAAGATGTCGGGGTCGTCCACCTGCTCCTCCTCCTCCTCCTCCTCCTCCTCGTTCTCCTCCTTCTCCTCCTCCTCCTTCTCCCTTCCTCTTACCCCCTCACCTCTCTCTCTTCCAAATCATCCTCTTTGGCGACACCCTCGTCGGCGACACCCACCTGGCCCTCGTCCACGTGATCCTGCCAGTCCCCCTCCTCCTCCGAGTCACCTTTCTCTCAACTGTCCTGCTCCTCCTTGTTGCAATCCCTTCCCTCTCTCCTCCTTTTCATCATCATCACCATCATCATCATCATCATCATCATCATCAGCAGCAGCATCATCATCATCATCACCTCCTCCTCATCATCAACACCACCTTCACCATCACCATCAACATCATCAGCATCGGCATCATCATGACCATCAACACCGTCATAATCATCATCATCATCAGCAGCATCACCATAACCAGCGTCACCAGCATCAGCATCATCATCATCATCATCAGCATTAGCCGCATCATCAACATCATCGTCATCATCATCATCACCGGCATCGTCATCGCCATCAGCATCATCCTCATCACCATCAGCAGCAGCATTATCATCAGCATCTTCATAAACAGTATCATTATCAGCATACTCATCATCAGCATCATCATCACCTCCAGCATAATCATCACCATCATCATCATGGGCGGCAGCAGCAGCGTCTTCGTGGTGGTCGTCGTCATGATCATCCTCATTCTCATCCTCATAATCATAGTCATCATCATCATCATCATCATCATCAGCATCATCATCATCACCATCATCACCATCATCATCCTCATCCTCATCTTCATCCTCATCCTCATCCTCATCCTCATCCTCATCCTCATCCTCATCATCATCATATTCATCATCATCATCAGCATCAGCATCATCATCATCATCATCATCATCATCATCCTATTCCAGCTCCTCCTCCTCCTCGTCCTTTTCCTCCTCCTCCTCCTTCTCCTCCTCCTCCTCCTCCTTCTCCTTCTTCTCCTCCTTCTCCTCCTCCTCCTCCTCCTCCTCCTCCTCCTCTCGTCTGACCCCCTTCTCATGCTGCTGCTGCTGCTCATCCTCCCCCTCCTCATCCTCATCATCATCATACTCTTCCTCCCCATCCTCTTCCTCCTCCTCTTCCTCCTCCTCCTCCTCCTCATCCTCTTCCTCCTCATCCTTATCCTCCTCATCCTTATCCTCCTCATCCTCTTCCTTCTCCTCCTCCTCCTCCTCCTCGTCCTGCTCCTCCTCCTCCTCTTGTTCCTCCTCCTCCTCCTCCTCCTCCTCCTCCTCCTCCTCCTCCTCCTCTCGTCTCCCCACTTCGCATGCTGCTACTCCTCCTGCTCCTCCTCGTCCTGCAGCGCAGCAGCAGGAGAAGACACCACAGGGAAGGAGGAGGAGGAGCAGCAGGAGGAGGAGGAGGAGAAAGAGGAGGAGAACACAGCCATCGTGCTGCCAAAAGCGGCTTTTCTAGCCACGGCGAGCCTCGGCCACGAGCAGGTCCCGCGACCTGGATCCACGGCACGGCACGAACACCAGAGCCCCATCGTGAGCCCAGGATGGTACGGTGGGGGCCCGACCTCAAGAACCCTTCTACAAGAAGCCCGACCCCCCCAGGACGTCCATCGATTCTTGGCGTGGGGACGCCAGGCTCTCCGCGGCGAAACCCTCGAAACCCAAGAAAGCCAGGGCGCCCTGGAGGCAAGCAGGGCTTGGCATGGGCCCCCACAAAAAATGATATAAACATAAAAAAACTCGGAGGTCCGCGCGGATTTCTCGGATCGGCGCTGGGTGGGCCCGCCGGCGGCGCCTCCGGCGCCGCCCCTGGCGCGCTCCGCGCGCCAGGGAGGAGGTCCAGCGCCGATCCGAGAAATCCGCGCGGACCTCCGAGTTGTTATGTTTATGCCACTTTTTGCTCCCCTGGAGGCAAGCAGGGTGCTTCTTGGCATGGCCCCCCCCCCCCCTCCTCCTCCTCCTCCTCCTCCGCCTCCTCCTCCTCTTCCTCCTCCTCCTCCTCCTCCCCCTCCTCATCCTCCTCCTGTACTTCCCTCGGCGGCTTGACCTGGAAGGGAGCTCGGATAATGCAACATGACGAGCACGAGTAGCCGCGGCCGCGGCCGGCGACTGTGGCCGCGACGGGCCACGGGCGGGCGCCGAGGCGCGGGCAGGCTCGGGCTCACCGCCTGGGCGCCCATGAGCAGCGCGGAGCTGAAGGCCACGCTCGACAGCGGCATGCGCAGCGTGGCGATCAGCGAGTAGAGCGCCGCGGAGCCGTGCTTGATGACGAGCATGGTGAAGATGTCCGCCGCCCGCGCCCCGCGGCGGTCTGCCCCCGTCGCCCCCAACCCTCCTGCGCCACTGCGCCCGGCCCGCGGAGGACGCCGCTGCTCCAGGTCCCTGCGCCCTCCGCCCCCCCCCGAGATGCTGCCATGCCTCGGAGGTGAGTCCTGCGCGGCCCTGCACGGGCCCCCACCCCCAGCCACCACTCCCGACCCCCGCCCCGAAGACCTCCTACCCCGCCGATCCCCCTCCCGGTGCTGCTCTTACCTGCGGCGCGCCGCCGAGTCACAAACGGCGGCAAGCAGCAGTGCAGTATTGCAGGCGGGGCGCGCTCAGCAGCACCGATGCACCTTTACGTCCACACAGACAGACAGAGACACAGACAGACAGACAGACAGACAGACAGACAGACAGACAGACAGACAGACAGACAGACAGACAGACAGACAGACAGACAGACAGACAGAGACACAGACAGACAGACAGACAGACAGACAGACAGACAGACAGACAGACAGACAGACATATAGACAGACAGACAGACAGACTTGGTCGGCGTCGCGACCACGCGTGCAGCAACGCGGCAGAGTCGATCAAGCGGTTGGAAAAGGAAGCGGAGAGCGAGCGCTGGGCCCGTCTCAACGCCAGCAGGGCGCGCAAGATGCACCCATCCCACAAGGAACCGCACTGCACCCGTCACGGGGGGCAGCCGTAAAAGGGCGGGACGGAGGGGGGGCGACGAAGGCACCGGCGGGAAACGAGAAGGGTCCAGGACCGGAGCGGAGGTGAACAGATGGCGGCAGACAGACATACACACACTTGCTGGCGCCGCGGCCACACGCGCGGCGGCGCGGCGTAGAAAGTCGGAGACACACACAAACACACACACACAAACACACACACACACACAACACACAAACACACACACACACACACACACACGCACGCACGCACGCACACACGCACGCACGCACGCACGCACGCACACACACACACACACAACACACACACACACAAACACACGCACACACACACACACACACGCACGCACGCACGCACGCACGCACGCACGCACGCACACACACACACACCACACACGCACGCACGCACGCACGCACGCACGCACGCACGCACGCACGCACGCACGCACGCGCACACACACAAACACACGCACGCACACACACACACACAAACAAACACAAACACACGCACACACACACACACACGCACGCACGCACGCACGCACGCACGCACGCACGCACGCACGCACGCACGCACGCACGCACGCGCACACACACACAAACACACACACAAACACACACACACAATCAGTGTGGTGGCGGATGCGTCGCGGCAGCGCACGGGGATTGAACAGCAGGTTGAACGCTATGTAGCCCGCCACGGCGACCCAGGCGTCGGAGCAACTGTCGCACGGCCGCTCGGAAATGCGGCCGCACTCGTCCACGATCTGGTCCTCGAGGAAGAACAGACACCGCGTGCCCTCCACGCTCAGGTCCTCGGAAGAGGGAAAGGCACCGATCCCACTGCCCCTGCCTCGTTTTTGCCTTGTTGTGCCTCCTGGGAGGCCATCGTTGCCGCGGTTGGATTCGCCTCGAAATTCTGGTCAGAACGCACCCCGGGAGAGGTCCCAGGAGTAGCAGTATCGGTAGCTTTCGGCTTCCCCAGCTCCAGCATCTTCTCAAGCGGCACCTGCTGCGGCCCGAGGAAGCTCAGGGAATATATCGGCATCGCGAGGAAATTGGTCATGACCTGGAACACCGCCACCCACACCTGGAGCACGTTGATGTCGAGGTCGCCCTCGTAGTCTGCGAAGGCAACCTCCCCCTCCTCCCTCGTGCCCTCCTGCTTCTGCAAATCCCTCTGCGAACTTGAGGAAGGAAGAACGGCATAAACATAATCCCGCCAGCCCTCTGGGCGTAAGTGGCCTAACGAGATCACTATGTCCTCTTCCAAAGCCCCTCTTCCCTTCGGGGATTGGTACCCTCCCCAAGAGGGGCCCAATATGCCCCCAAGACGACCCCAAGACCGCCCAGGAGCGCCCCAAGAGGGGGCCAAGAGCGTCCCAAGATGCGATTTTGATGGCCCAGAAGTGGGGGACTAAACTTTATTCCCCCCCCCTGTTCACCGACATCCTCCACGACAGCCCCAAGAGGCCCTCCAGGTCTCCCAAGAGGCCCCCAAGAGAGCCCCAATAGAACTCCAAGAGGGCCCCAAGAGGCCCCGAAGAGCGCCCCGAGACCCCCCAAAAGAGCTCCACGAGAACTCCAAGACCCCTCAATAGAGCCCTAAGAGGGCACCGAGCCCTTCTCCTCCTCCTCCTCCTCCTCCTCCTCCTCCTCCTTGTTCTCGTATTCCTGTTCATGCTACTCTTCTTCCTGATCGTCGTGGTCGTCGTGGTCGTCGTCTTCCTCCTCCTCCTCACTTCGCCCCCACGCGGCCCCCAGGGATGGCCCAAAGGGACTTTCCAAGGCCACCCCCTTACTCCCAGAGATCTCTCTGTTCACCCTGGTTGTTCGCGTTGTTTCACTAGATGTGTCTCTTCGTCCCTTTTCCCGTCAGCTCTCAAGGTCAGGGTCTCTGCATGGGCTGTTCGGAGGTTCGCGCGGATGTTTTGGATCTGCGCTGAACCCCCATCCTGGCGCACGGAGCGCGCCAAGGGCGGCGCCGAGACCTCACCAAGGGGGTCCAGCGCAGATCACCAAGAAACCAAGAAAACCCGCGCGCACCGTCGAAAGGCTCCCGCGCGCACCAAGTTATGTAGCTTCTCATTCTGAGACGACTGGGGGCGAGTCCCACACTGCAGAGCAGCGCTCGGCCAGCAAAAACGAGGAACACAGAGAATGGCTCGTGGGTGATCGGCAGCTGCCCGGTCCGCTGGCCGAGGGCGACCAGAGCCTCGGCAACCCTCCGCCCAGGTCAAGGGGAAGGCCCTGTGGGCTGGTCGACGCCAGGGCGCAGCACACACTCAAACTGGATCACAAGCATGCGCGGTAAGGACGCAAGGGCCTTGGGCCACAAGATGTCCCCCGAGCAGGTGACATCGTTCAACCTTCTGAACTACGTGCATCAGTTCTCGGTTGTGGTGACGTCCTACGACATGGACGCGAAGAACAACAATCTCAGTTTCACGCAGATGCAGGGGCTCAGCATCTGTATCATATGGGAATATACCGACAATATGTGGATATTGTATGGTGGGTTGTATCTAGATGTATATCTGAAGAAGGTATGCAGAGATTTCTTTCCGTACGTGTGGGCTCGTCGTCACCGAGACCACAACAAAGAGATGCACGCTTTGCATGGCAATGGGCCGTCTATGAAGCAAGCATTGGCAAGAGCATTGAAGGCTAAGCACACGCCGCAGATGAACAAAAGCCGAGTCCTTACTATGCTGGAGGCAGCAGGAGTGGACAAACCCCAAAAGATGTATGATCACTTGAAGAAGTTCTCCACAGAGCGTATGGCCAAGATCGCAGCCATGCCCGCCAAGGAGATTGCGGATGCGATGAAGGGATGGTTGGAGGAGAAGCCCTACGGCGTCGACCCACCAACCAAGCCACAACCGCCCAAGAAGCAGAAGGCCATGCCCATGAAGCAAAAGACAGGTTGGCAGTATCAGGCTAACCTCGACCCCGCAGACTGGGACATCCCAGTGAAGCGTGGCCTTCCGCAAGATTATGAGAGTATGAAAGCTGTGCACCTTGTCACGACGGACGAGTTCCTTGAACTTGCACGTTTGGACTCATTTTGGCAAAGACCAGATCCTGCTGAGGCTTTTGGATTCGTCTTGGCACAATCACCCAATCAGGTCTCGAAAGAACTGTTCATGCTGTGTGGCCAGAGAGGTCTGGCTCCATGTATCACTCTTCTGGACGTGCCGCTCATTTACGAGGAGAGACGGTATATCAAGCAACTGTATGTCTGGCAATACGGAGGCGCCACGCAGCACAAAGTGGAGCCAACTAGAGTGCCAACGTCGATAAAATGTACGCAGGATGAGCTCATGAACGTCGCCATCTTAGAAGAGCATGCCCCCGAGAAGATCTTCAAAGAACTTCTCAAGCTACATCGTCAGGCATCATCGGCTCGCGATCAGCGGGCAGAGAATGCTAGTCAAAAAAGAAAGTTCGACACTATCCCCCCTTGGAGAGTGTTGGATGCAGAACTGGCAAGTATCGTGAAGGCTAAATGCAACGGAGGCGCGGACATGGATCTACGCTGTTGGAGTGGCAGAGTCTTCAATGAGGATCAACCTGGTCATCGTGTGGTATCTGGCTTGTTCAAAGTATCGGCCACACGAGCTATTCAATTGCGAGCTGCATCAGGACCAGATGGGGTTATCTTCCAGCGATCTCGAGCAGGAGGAATCATCAACACGGCCCTGGATGAAGAAAAGAATACAGAAGACTTTGTTCCATTCCCCAAAGCTATCTCCCTGACGGACGCGCTCAACATGGTCGCAGACTTAGAGGGCGGCCGAGGATTGGGCTACAAACAGAATGGTGCTTTGTTCTTCAGAGTTGAAAAGACGCAGTCAGGCCCTGCCTGGCAGAAGTTACAATCGAGAACCCCACCAGCACCAACCCTCTACGAGATCTCCCCACTACCGAAGCTCGTTGAGGGAAAGCAGATTGTGCAAGAAATATCCACTCAGCTCGGGTGGAAGGCAGAGTTTGTTCACATACGCTCCAAGGGAAGAGGTGCCAAAGCCACGCCAGTCGTACGTTGTCGAGCTGAAGGACCCCCATCGGTCTCGGACCTCACCCTGGCAGGAGTAAAAGCAACGATCAACATAGTCAAGCAGAAAAGTGCCACACCAGCCCCATCGACGACATCGTGGGCTGAGATGGTCACGAAGTATGAAAAACCTGAGCCAAAGACGACACCGGCTACTAAGAAGACAAGCTTAGCTGCGCAACTCACACGACCAGCCCCTGCACCGCAGCAAGGACAACCAGCGCAGCAGACTCCACCACCATCGGTCACGCCACCATCTACGCCAGGCTCTGCAATGTCTCCTGAGTTTCAGAAGTTCTTGCTAGATGCGATTGGAAAGGCGGTGACGGCGAATAACCAGAAGATCTTTGCTCAATTACAGCTTCAAGGGCAGGGTCTTGCAAAATGTTTCGAAGTTCTACGCTCAGATGGGGGCCTATCCAGTGCTGAGCAGGAGCAGGATGAGGAGATGGAGCGTCTGAGTAAGAGGCTCAAAGATAGTGCGGCAACTGATATGGATGAGTGATGATGCCCTCTCGCCGCCTGCGAGGGAAACAAGCACCTGCAGCACCTACCTGTGGTCCTGCAGGTCTCGCCACTATCCTTTCTGCAAATATAACCAGCTGGAATACTTTTTCTGGCCGCCTTGCTCTCATGAATGCAGATGTCCTTGCGCTGCAGGAGACACGCCTCAACTTGAAGGAACAGATGGCTTGTACTAAAGCCTGTGCTGCATATGGATACAATGCTTGTTTTGGGCACCCTGTTCGCCAACAACGATGTCATGGAGAAAAGTTTCATCGCAGCACCCAGGGTGGAGTCGCGATCTTATCAAGAACTACTATTACTGCAATGGAAAGTGGACGCAAGCATGGTGCAGCCAAGGAGTTGTATCTCAGCGCCCGCTGGCAAAGGCAACTTGTGATGCTGGGGGCCACTCCTGTTCACATCATTTCCATGTATAATGAATCGGGTAATGACCCACTGGTGCGTACACGCAACGACCGACTATTTCAGTTTGTATTCGAGGATGCCGAAGCCTTGGGCGACCAGCCGGTCATCCTGTGTGTGGACTCGAATACGACAATTGCACAGACATCCACGCTATCAGCGGCCCTGGCAACAGGGAGATGGCACGATGTTGGAGCTATGTATGGAGGAGAACCTACTTACGGCCTGGACCCGCGGTGGGACAAATATTCGGCAGGCAATCATGTTACGCGGCCCGATCTTATTCTGGTCAGTACATCAGCCCGAGATTCCATCCACTCTTTTCGCTTGAGAAGGGACCTGGGGATCAAGTGCCACCTAGGTCTGGAGCTCACGCTTAATATCACCAAGCTCGCAGAGGTCTGGCAGAGGTATCGTATGCCTGTGGCCTACCCCGTGGAGCTAGTCAAGAAGATCCCTGAGGAGGAAAACGAAGCGTTGGGCAAAGAATGTGTGGATGAGTATTATGACAGATTCTACGAGGCACTGGACAAAGAAGATGCAAATACAGCATGGTCGCTCATCGGACGGATGGGTGAAGATTTCTTAGAGAAACGTCTGGCGCATACCAACATCAAGTTTGATTTCAGGTACCATGGACGAAGCAAGATGCCAGCGCTTGTTGAGCAATCTGTGGTTGCTCCGACGTCGGCAAAAGATCCTGCTCGAGAAGGTCCCACAACATCCAAGTTGCGGCAGATCGAGAATGTACTCCACCGTCTCGCTGAGCTCTCAAAGAAGATTCACATCTACTTCCAGGGTACAGAGGGACCTTCACTAGAACACCAACTGAGTGCGCAGCGCCTGTGGGACAAGCTGCGTACCAACATACCACGTCTTCTATCAGGACTGGGAAATCTACCTGGCAGGCTTCCGACACTGGCTGAGATCGCATCGTGGCAGTCCTTATTAGACGAGAAGCATGCAATCATTGTGAAAGAAAGAAAGCTTACACGTATAGCTGAATGGCGCAAACGTCTACGAACATCACTTCGCTATGAAGGGGGCCGTGACATGTATTCTTGGATCAAGCAGCGCCAGTATCATTCACTCCATGCGGTACGAGGCTACCAGACCAATGAGATAGTCACCAAGCGCACTGACATCTTGGA